TAGTTTTATGATAGTAGTACTGCCTGCTGTCTTTTCACTTTACCAAACGGATGAATATTATCTTTTCGAACATCTTATTTACACACACAATAGATGTCCTTCTCAAAGATATCAAAGATTTCGAAGAAAAATAGTATCGAATGTACATTTAATCCAAAAGTACGGTTATTGTAATTATTCTAGTCTATTACTTGCGAAACAATTTAAAGGAAGTTTAAGTTATCAGAGAATTTGAGACATCAAAAATAAATTAATTAAACAGAAGAAGAAAACTTAAGATGAAGTGCAGTTCGTTAATTACAGTAGTGCATAAATTCATGCAGACTGTTGGCCAAAAGTAATCATTTAGGTTTCTCCAACTGAATTAGAAGAAGTTTTGATGTCGCATCCGAAAATAACCGATTGCTGTGTAATTGGCTTACCTGATGAAAAGTATGGTGAAGTCCCTATGGCCTTCATCGTTGCTAAATCTGTCAGTGAAGAGAATATTCACGCATACGTTAAAGGTACGTTTTCTAACCTTTTAACCTTACATTACTATAAATGAGCTACTTTAGAACGACTTGCACCTTATAAGCAACTACGAGGGGGTATTCGATTTATGGCTGCTATACCCAGAACACCTTCAGGAAAAACTATGAAGAGACAGCTCAAGGATGAACAGATGAAAACGATGAAGCTATCTCATCGGAGTCGTCTTTGATACTTACGAATGTGATTTTACGAAAGATTTTATTGAGAATTATAGAATAAATATGCAGAAAGGGAGAATGTCACCTTACAATTGATTGATTGCTACAAGGTGAAAAATTATGGCATTGAATACACAATGAAACATAAAATTTATTTTGTTCTGCACAGCACTAGCAGGGAATTAGGAGCATATGTGCTGATAACGCTGCAAGAGAATAACATCCGCTAATGTATTACCAAAGACGGCGCCTATTTGTGATTGTGAGAAGTTGAATTTGTAAAAAGCGCGATTCTATGTATGATAATCCGCGCCCTTTAATTTTTAGGAACGATTGGCTTACAACTGCTAACA